ACCTCACCGACGTCTTAAGGTTTGCTTTCCCTATTTCTATTAAATTATACTCTCTTGGCTTTTGTTGTGGTTGTTATTATTGTTGTTGTTGTTATCTTAATTTGCCAGAGGGAATGTGTGTTCCCTAAAGAGAGAGAGAGACAGAGAGAGGCAAAGTAAGAACTCACCTCCTTGGAGGATGGCCACGCCACAATCCCTTCTCCTCCATTCTCCCCTTGGGATTTTTGTCATACACACACGCATGCCTGGTGTGATTTTCAAGCCACCAGCTATGTGATTCAAACCTCTCAGTCAGCCTTGTGGGATCTAGCAACCTTAAGCTCTGCACCACCCTGCTGGCCCTTCTTACCCTTTTTAAAATATCACTTAATACTGTATTTTTCTATAAGAAGATTTTTCTTTCATCCTAGTGTTTACCTTTATGGTTATAGTGCTGTTTCTTTTCTTTCTTTTTTTTTTTTAAGAGGTTTTTACTATAGGGTGCGTGCGCTTGCCAGACAGAGAGAGGCAGAGAGACAGAAAGCGAGAAATCACCCCCCCCAGGGGGGATGGCCATGCCGCAATCCCTTCTCCTCCATTCTACTCTCAGGATCTTGGGCACGTACGCACACGCACCCGTCGTGATTTGGTCTGGGATGCGAACCACGGTCAACTACATGAGAGTCCAGCGACATAGCCATTACGCTAACTGCTGGTCCCCATAGTGCTGTTTCTTTAGATAGTAATTTTTTTTTTATTACTCAGTTGATAAGGTTTTTAAAATATCTTTTGATTCTGTTATAGATGGATCAATAAGTCCTCTTATTTTACTTCCCACTTATATAACCTTCTCTTTCCAAATTTTGTGAGTCTATGATCTTTACATTGTTAAGGCATGCTACATTTATGTGATGCTCTTTCATATTTATCCCAACCTTTCGTTTAGTCTTAGTTTTATCATTAAATATATTCAGTGTTTTCTACCAGTCCTTTTGCTGAACTTTATCTAGACCTCTCTTGATTGACTGGCTTATTCTTTATCACCTTCCTCCAAAAAGAGCTTGTGCAAATGGTATCACCCCAAGTTCTATCTTGTTCAGAACTGACCATTTTTCCTTAAATTTCTTTTTTTAAAAAATTATTTTATTGGGAACCAGCAGTTAGCGTAATGGCTATGTCGCTGGACTCCCACGTAGTCGACCACAGTTCGCGTCCCAGACCCGGTGGCTTAAAACTCACACGGGGTGCGTGTGTGTGGGTGCCCAAGATCCCGAGAGGAGAATGGAGGAGAAGGGATTGCGGCGTGACCATCTCCCCTGGGGGGTGATTTCTCGCTTTCTGTCTCTATGTCTCTCTCTGTCTGTCTGGCGAGCGCACGCGCCCTATAGCGAAAATCTCTCAAAAAATTATTTTATTTAACTTTATTGATTTATTTTTTAATTAGAACAGAGATGGGCAGAGTGAGAGACAGAGGGAAAGTGAAAGAAAGAGAAAGCAAGAAAGGAAGCCACCAAGTCCGGGACTCAAATCGTACCCAGCCTTATGGGAGTCCAGCACCCTTAACCACCTTGCCAACTCCTGACCCCCTTAAGTTTCTTATAGTATTGATGTTTCATGTTGTTATGAAGTCTTTTGACAGCTTGATGTTTTCCCTTTATGTATAAGAAGCTTGTGTTTATTTATTTGTTTGTTTGTTTGTTGTGATTTTCAAGCCGCTGGATCTGGGATTCATACTGTGGTCAGCCACATGGGAATACAATCCTTTAACTGCCATGCCACCTGCTAACCCTTCTTTCTTTTATTTTAAACTCACTTTATTAGAGCATGTCTCAATCTTGACCATTTGGGATGACTTTTTCCTGATAAACATAGTCTCTTTCAGGATGGAAAGTTGTCTTTTCCAGAAATATTTTCTTTCTTTTCTTTTCTATTTTTTTTGGGGGGGAGAGGTTTTTACTATAGGGCACATGCACTCACCAAAAAGACACACATACAGAGAGAGGGAAAGCAAGCAATCACTCCCCAGGGAGGATGGCCTCGCCACAATCCCTTCTCCTCCATTCTCCTCTCGGGATCTTGGGCACACATGCACACACGCCCAGTGTGAGTTTAAGCCACCGGGTCCAGGACTCGAATTGCAATCGGCTACATGGGAGTCCAGCAACATAGTCATTATGCCAGCTGTTGGTCCCCCTACTTTTTTTAATGAAGCTAAAAATACAGATATAAATAAAGTACAGAGAATAGCGCAACAGATGTTCCAGTATTCATCACCTAGAGCTAAGCATGGTTAATTATGCCTTTTTTTAAAGAATTATTTTATTTTTTAACATTTATTTATTTACTTATTTTAGTTTGACCAGAGTGGGACGGAGAGAGAGAGGAAGAGAGGAAGCAAGCCACTAGGTCTGGGACTCAAACTGTGGTCAGCCATGTGGGAGTCTAGCACCCTTCATCACCACGCCACCTGCTGACCCAAATTCATTTTTTTTTCTTTAAATAAACCTTAAAAGTTTTTTCCATAGGTTGGGTGCATGTGCTTTTCAGAGAGAGAGAAAGAGAAGGACAGTGAGCAAGGAAGTGAGAAACCACCCCTCTGAGGGGACGGCCATGCCAAAATCCCTTCTCCTCTTTTCTCCCCCTGGGATTCTGGGCAGATAGGCACACATGCTTGGCATGATTTTCAAGCTGCCAAGTCCAGGACTTGAACTGCCATTGTTAATATTTTGACAAAAAAGGTAAACCATTTTAAATTCAAGTTCTCTTTGTTCCCAGTTCTCAATTTTCTTTCTGCCTCTTGCTCTCAGAAGCAATGACAGTCATGAATTCAGTGTATGTCCTTCCAGTTAGTTGTTTTATACTTTTTTTAAGAATTATTTTATTAAATTATTATTATTATTTATTATTATTATTTTAAAATTTTATGAGAAAGAGCAAGAGAGAGAGGAAGTGAGAAACAAGCTGCCAGGTCTGGGACTCAAACTGTGGTCACCCAGGTGGGAGTCCAGTGCCTTAACCACCATGCCACCTGCTGGCCCCATTTTCCTTCTTAAATGTAAAAAAAAAAAAATTTCAGTCTTTAAAAATTGACTATTGGGGGACCAGTGGATGGTGTAATGGCTATGTCGCTGGACTCCCATGTAGTTGACTGCAGTTCAAGTCCCTAAACCAGTGGCTTAAACTCACACAGGGCACATGTGCATGTGTGCCCAAGATTCCAAGAGGAGAATAGAGAAGGGAATGCATCATAGCCATCCCCCTTGGGGGTGATTTCTCCCTTTCTGTCTCTCTGTCTCTCCAGTGAGAGCATACACTCTAAAGCAAAAATCTCTTTTAAAAAGGAGAATACACAGGAAAAAAGAAACAATGATATGACTGAAAATAATAGAAAAATATTTTTAAATAAAAACAGTTTCATGGAGCCAGCAGGTGATATGTTGTTTAAGGCACTGGACTCCCACATGGCTGACCACAGTTTGAGTCTTGGACTTGGCAGCTTGCTCTCTCACTTTCCCTCTCTCTCTCTTTTTTTCCCAAAGAATTATTTATTTAATTCCATTTGTTATCATTACTTCTTCAGTTTGACCAGAGAGAGAGAGAGGAAGCCACCAGATCCAGGACTTAAACTGTGACCTGCCTTATGGGAATCCAGCACCTTTAAACCAGTACAACACCTGCCAGGTCCTCTCTGTCTCTCTTTAGTGAGTGCACATACCCAATACCAAATTAAAAAATAATAATAAAATTATAAACATAATTCTAAAAAGAAAATATTTTTTCATAGCTTTTTGTAGGACCTTTTCTGTATTCCTGTAAACTATACTTCTTTCTCTCATCAGTTACTTATGTACCAGTTGTAATCTCCAGTCACTGCTTTTACTTCAAATTACTTTCCACAACTTTACCATTTGCAGTCTGGCTTCTGCCACTCTAGTTTGACTAGATCTAGGTACCTTTCTTCATTTCCATATTCCTCACCTTACTGAGGTGTATATAATTGTTCTCACCACTATAATTTTTTTCTTTCAAAGCTCTGTTTTGGTTTTCTCTCGAAAATCAACATTAACTGACTTTTGTCTCTTGTTTTTCTGTCTTTTCTTCACTTAACCATAATAGCTTTGTTATTTTAACTTGTCTCTCTGTCCACTGCTGTCTAATAGAACTTTCTGTGATGATGGAAATAATCTGTTATCTGTGCTTTTCAATACAGTGGCCACTTAGCTATATCTGACTTTGAGTACTTGAAATGTGGCACTAAATTTATTTATTTATATATTTATTTATTTATTTATGTTTGTTTGTTTGTTTGTTTATTTAAGTGTATTTATTTTTAAATTCCCAGAGGGCATATTCTCTTGCCAGGGAGAGAGGGGAGAGAGAGCACCCCCAGTGGGCTGTGGTCATGCTGCAGTCCCTTTTCTCCATTTCTTCTTCCCATCAGGATTTTGGGTATAAACACACACTCATGCCCTGTGGGTTTTTCAAGCTCCTAGGGCTAATACTCAAATTGTGGTGAGCCATGTGGGATCCAGCTGCTAATGCACAGCACTTAATCACTGTGATTAAGGCTGAGGACTGACTCTGTTTATTTCACGAGAGTGGAAGAGAAATGGGTATCTGCATCAGAGCCTCATTCTGTGATCTTCCCAATGATCTTTTATTTTTTTTAAAGGTTTTTTCCATAGGGTGTGTGTGCTCGCTGGAGAGGGAGACAGAGAGAGACTGTCAGAGAGAAAATGAGAAGTCACCCCCCTAAAGGGAATGACTGCACTGCAATCCCTTCTCCATTCTCCTCCTGGGATTTTTGGGTATGTATGCCCATGTGCCCAGTGTGAGTTTCAAGCTACTGAATCCAGGACTTAAACTGCAGGTGGTCACTACACCACCTGCTCACCCCTCCCGCCCACACCAACAGTCTTCTTAACCAGCCAGGATCATGGACATGCATGTGGACCTAGAGCATATAGGTCTATCTGGAACTAAACCCTGATCTTCTGTATGACTCCAACATGGCAGAGCAATATACCACCACTGCATTCATGTGACTGAGCCTTAAACATGTTTGTTTTAATTAATTTAAATTGCCACATGTAGTTAGTTAATGGCTACTATATTGGTTCACATAGTTCTATACAGTCTTTCTTCTTTCCTTATTTTTTTTTTTCGGTTTTGCCAGAGGGTGCATGCACTCGTCAGAGAGAGAACACATGTCCTCCTGCCCCTATGCCCCAATCCTTTTTCCTCCATCTCTCCCTGCTTTCAGGATTTGGGACAGACATATACACATGGCTGCTGTGTTTTCCAAGCTGCTGAGTCCCAAACTTGAACCACAGGCAGGCCATGTGGGATCCAGTCATCTTAACCACCAGGCCATGGTCTGGCCCTATACAGTCTTTTAATGATGGGTATCCAGTCTATGTGTAAATCTCTATGTTGCTGTGATACTACTCATAGAAACATATTGTGGCCATTAGCTCTGAACTTCCTCTTTCTTGTTAAGATTTTGTTTTAAGAATTATTATTATTATTGTTTTGGAGAGATTTTTGCTATAGGGCACGTGCGCTTGCCAGACAGACAGAGACAGAAAGACAGACAGCGAGAAATCACCCCCCAGGGAGGATGGCCATGCTGCAATCCCTTCTCCACCGTTCTCTTGGGATCTTGGGCACGCATACACACACGCCCGACGTGAGTTTTAAGCCACCGGGTCCGGGACATGAACCGCGGTCGACTACGTGGGAGTCCAGCAACATAGCCATTACACTAACTGCTGGTCCCGAGAATTATTTTTTTAATGGACCAGCAGGTGGCATGGTGGTGAAGGTGCTGGACACACCCACATGGCTGATCACAGTTCAAATCCCGGACCTGGTGGCTTGCTTTCTTACTTTCCCTCTCTCTCTTTTTGTCTCTCTCTGGTCAAATTAAAATGAATATATAAAATAAATAATTCTCTAAGAACTATTTACTTATTTCCATTTGTTGTTGTTAGTATTTTTGAATCTGACCAGAGAAAGGGAAAGGGAGAAAGCAAACTGCCAGGTCTGGGACTCAAACTACAATTGGCCTTGTGGGAATCCAGCACCTTTAACCACCATGCCACGCACCAGCCCCTTAAGTTTCTCTATAGAGGGGCTGGCAGGTGGTGCAGTGTTTGAGGTACTGGACTCCCACCTGGGTTTCATGACAGTGACACATTGATGGTTTACTTTGTTAGTATCTCTATTAGTTTGTCTGCTGCCCACCTGTTTTTGTCTGTGGGAGACTAGGTCCACAGTCTAGTAAGACCTTTTTGTCTTGAAATGTTATATATCAGCCACTTAGAGTTATGATTGTATTCCAAAATTGATCATACTCTGACTTATATCTTCCATCATAGCTATGGGTTATAACCAGCTAGAAGTTACATATTATTAGTATCTAACACATGGACTAGATACGTTTTACCTCCAAAGGATTAGCCTTTCTTTTTTTGTTTTGCCTTTCCAAATTAGCCTATTTCGTAATTCCCATTCAGATAAAGATGTAGTAATATTGAACCTGCTAATTGTGTGGGTGCAGGAATTACTTAATGAGTGTAGATTTATGTATTTTATTTAATGATAAGTACCATCAAATATCTACAATGAGCCAGACATCACTGGTTATGTTATAAACATAATATTTGTTTTTCTTGTACCACACTTGAAAGGTAATCTGATTTTGACAAACAGGAAACTGAGGTTCAAGGAGTAGGCTAATCAGTTTGTTAGAAATAGAATAACGGGCTAGCTAGACAAAGTGAGTGTTCACTTGATCCCAAAGCTTCTGTCATTTCCACTGTGCCATGTGGGTAACCACTCGACTCTCTTCTACTTTGCTGAATCTGTAACAGTCAGTTACTGATAAAGGGGAACTGTCTTTTCTTTCTTTTTTTTTTTTGATAAATACTATTGTGATACCATTTACTTTTAAGTATTTCTCTATTCCAATCATAGTAAATATGTCTTCTACACATACAATATTGGGTAATCAGAGAAGTCATGATGCACTTTTGCATAGAAAAACAAAAAATATATATTATGACTTTTCTGATGGCCCAATACTTATTTTCTGCTCTATATTTTCTCTACTCTGTTCCCCCATGTAGAATCTCTTCCACCGCAGTATTCATCTCCTGTGCTTTTTTCCTTTTTTTAATGGTTGAAGCTTTGAAAACTTTCAAGTCCCCATGTTGTACAATATATGTAACCTTCTCTCTTTCAGATTTCTTTTACTCAGCATTACATTAAGTGTTATACAAACTTGGAATTTGCCTGAAGTAGAGAAAAGATTTATTCTTGGTATGAGAGCATATAGTGGCCCTGGGTAGTGGGTACAGGAGAGAAGTATCATTTTTCTCTTAATAATGAGAAATGTTGATCTCCAGATTTTCTTTTTAAACACTTAGGGGGTAAAACATTAATTTTTTAGCCTAGCCTCAGTAAATTGATCAGGAGAGCACCACTGTATGTGGCTGAAGCCACATGGAAGGCCTACATTTGATTTTTAGACCAACCTAAAACTGGCTGGGGATGGTAGTACATGGATTACTAGCTAACTGGGAGCCTGGGGCAGGTGGATCATGGCATGGTGAGACCCTATCAAAAATCAATCTCTCTTCCTCTGTCTTTTTAAAATACAAACAAGCAAACAAAACAAAACGTTTTTTCTCTGGAGCCTGATAAAATCTTAGACATTGTTGAGCAGCATTAGTGGAAAAAATTTATAATGAGATTAATGTGGCAGCATTCCTTTATTCATCAACATGCTGATCATTGTGCCAGGCAGTGGAAGTAACTGAAAGAAGGAAAAGGAGTAAACATCAATGAGTGCTCTCATGGAACTGTCATGTTATGAATGCCAGTGCAAGATAGACTGGAGGCTTTAAAAAATAGGAACAGGGAAACCGATTATGAGCATATCAGTTGTCCCAACCCGGGGACAGTCGAACAGGTTCCCTGGGGGAGGGAGTGAGAGATGGGACAAATGCACACACATACACACACACAGAGTGGAGACAATACAAGGTGCTGATCAAGTCTTCTTCTTCTTCCTCTTCCTCTTCTTCCATTTATTGAGGAAAAAATGGTGAGTTATATACAGGCTGGTGGGCACCGATTGGTTGCCCGGAATGCAAATGAGAACAGCATGAACCAGTCATTGGTGTGGGTGGATCTCTCCCGTTGCTTAGAAACCCAACTGCCCCTCAGGGAGAACAGTTGGTCACATGACTTCTGAGAAACAGTTTGCTGGTGAGGAAGTAAAGCCTAATGTTTTTCAAGATGGCGGATAGCTCAAGATGGCTTCTATATGCAGTGCCCTTCACAATCAGTCATTGTCAATTTCTTATTCTTGGGGCATTAGCTTTGTCTGCTGCTTAGAGCCATGTATTTTACCTGTTTCACTTCGCTGTCTCCTTATTACCAGCACACACACATTCTTCTATACATGTACACCAACTTTCTTCATTTTTTTGTGCTTCCTTTATATTCTGTTAATTTTTTCATGGTCATTTTTAGGAAATGTTAGAACCATGTACTTTCTCCTCTCCTTTTTCCCAGATAAATTATTCAGTTTCTTCTACACCAGACTTTCCCCCCTTCTTATCAAAGAAAAAAAGGAGACATTTATTTTATTTATATTTTTCAGACTGGGAGTCTTGGTGTGAAATCAAGGAATTATCTCCAAAATGGTTTATTGATGAAGATGAAATATCCCAAGGGATAGTAATGGAAAGAGTTACATGTCATGGCCTTGAATGTTCCACTTTCAGAGAAGCCTGGAAATATGAGGGTGACTTTGAGCAGCATCAGGAAAGTCAGGAGAGGCATTTCAGGCAAGTGACAACTCTTAAGGAAATCTCTACTGGGAAGAGAGACAATGAATATAATAATTCTGGAAGAAGCTTCCCTCTGAAGTCAGTACCTTTAACACAACAAAAAGTTCCTACAGCAGAGCAAATACATAAATTTGATGTTTATGATAAAATCTTCCCCCAAAATACAGTAATAATTGAATATAAAAGACTCCATGCTGAGAAGGAATCTTTAATAGGTGCTAAATACGGAGAATTTCATCACAGTACACACTTTAGTAAAGATACAGGAATTCCTTCTGGTGAGAAGCCTTATGAAAGTAATGATTTTTCAAATCTCTTAAGTTTCCACTCATTACTTACTCAACATCAGACCACTCATTTTAGAAAATTACCCAGTGGATATGATGAATGTAGTGATGCCTTTAGCTGTTACTCATTCTTTACTCAACCTCAGAGGATTCACAGTGGAAAGAAACCATATATATGCAATGACTGTGGAAAAGCCTTTAGCCATGACTTCTTTCTCAGTGAACATCAGAGAACTCATGTTGGAGAGAAACCATATGAATGTAAGGAATGTAACAAAGCCTTCAGACAGAGTGCACACCTTGCTCAACATCTGAGGATCCACACTGGAGAGAAACCTTTTGCATGCAGTGAATGTGGGAAGGCCTTTAGCCGTTATGCCTTCCTTGTTGAACATCAGAGAATTCACACAGGAGAGAAACCATATGAATGTAAGGAATGTAACAAAGCCTTCAGACAGAGTGCACATCTTAATCAACATCAGAGGATTCACACTGGAGAGAAACCCTATGAATGTAATCAGTGTGGAAAAGCCTTCAGTAGACGTATAGCCCTTACTCTGCATCAAAGAATTCACACAGGAGAGAAGCCCTTCAAATGTAATGAATGTGGGAAGACTTTTGGCTATCGCTCACACCTTAATCAACATCAGAGAATTCATACTGGAGAAAAACCCTATGAGTGCATCAAATGTGGGAAGTTTTTTAGGACTGACTCACAACTTAATCGACATCATAGAATTCATACTGGAGAAAGACCGTTTGAATGCAGTAAATGTGGGAAAGCCTTCAGTGATGCTTTAGTTCTGATTCACCATAAGAGAAGTCACGCAGGAGAGAAACCCTATGAATGTAACAAATGTGGAAAGGCCTTCAGTTGTGGCTCATACCTTAATCAACATCAAAGAATTCATACTGGAGAGAAACCCTATGAATGTAATGAATGTGGGAAAGCTTTCCATCAGATTTTATCCCTTAGACTACACCAGAGAATTCATATTGGAGAAAAACCCTATAAATGTGATGAATGTGGGAGTAATTTCAGCTGTGCCTCAGCCCTTAGAAGACATCAGAGAACTCATAATAGAGAAACCCTCTGATCATAGTAATTATAGGTAAGAAAACATTTAGTCACCACTCAGCCCTTATTGAATATCAGTGAATTATTTTTGGTTAGTAATTCTATGAATATAGCACATGTGGAAAAGCCTTCAGTTTGTGAGCAGCCATTACTTAAAATAGCTTGAGTAGAAGACAGCTATTACTTTTTAATCTGTGCTACAACCTACTAACCCCACCCCCATGCATACGATTTTGATGAAACTTAATCAGAGACAGAAGTGGATTACTTACAGGCTGTCTACTTATTTCTCTCAATCCAATAATTAATAAAGGATAGATGTATTGCCTACTTGGAATGATAGTATCCTTTGTATTGTTATAAGTAGTAAGAAAGATATTTCTTTTTTCTTTCTGGATTGCAAGTTTCACAGATTTGGTAAGGATAAAAACTCACTTGCATTTTTACCACTTGGTGAAGAAACCCTTCCCAAAGAGAAATCCAACACAGAGGAAAATGGAGAGGAGAGACAGAAACTTGGTGATGTTGTTTGGTGTGGATCCAGTCATACTTGACATCTATACCATCTTTTACTTTTTCATGTTTGTGATCCAATAAATATCCTTGTTTTGCTTAAGTTAGTTTGAGTTAGATTTTTGCCTCAAGAATTAGAGTACTGGAGCCAGCAGCTGGCATAGTGGTTAAAGTGCCAGACTCCCACATAGCCAACCATGGTTCAAGTCCTGGACCCAGTGTTTTGAAACTCATGCCAGGAATGTGTGCATGCATGCCCATAATCCCAAGAGGGGAATGGAGATAAAGGCCTTGCATTATGGTTATCCCCCCCTCCCCAGGGGGGGTTATTCTTCACTTTCTCTCTGTGTCTCTCTCTGTGTTTCCGGCAAGTGGATGTGCCCTATAGCAAAAATCTCTCTCTGAAAAAAAAAAAAAAAAAAAAAACACAAAAACTAAGGTGCTAACACATGTACCCTGTGTTTGCTATACATGTGAGAAAGCTTTTATCTTTTATATGGCATGATTATTTATGAGGAAAAACCTTATTAAATAACCATCACATGAAAGGTGAGTACACAGACCTTATAAAGCTGAGAAAGTCATTACATTTTGTTTATTTATTGACAAAAAATTAATTTAGTATTTATTAGTCCATTTCACAATAAGGATGAATATTTTAAAATTTACCTAGTAAAATTTATCAACAGGATTTCCTTTAAGGAGTTAAAATTATTTGTGGCAGTGACTTACCAGTGGCTTGTAAAGAGAGGATGGAAAACTGAAAGAATAATAATTCTAAGGTTTAACGAATGGCTTTTTATCTTAATGGTATTAGATTTTCTTCTTTAAATGTGGGTTTAAACATACTGTATGCAGATTAATATAATAAAAATTGTAAGTGAAATCTTTTGTGGATGAGCTGTAAACTTCATTTAAGAAGTTTATGCATTGGGACCAGCAGTTGGCATAATGATTATGTCGCTGGACTCCCATGTTGACCGCCGTTCGAGTCCCGGTGGCTTAAACTCACAGCGGGCATGTGTGTGTGTATGCCCAAGGTTCTGAGAGGAGAGTGGAGGAAAAGGGATTGCAGCATAGCCATCTCCCTGGGGGGTGATTTCTTGCTTTCTGTCTCTCTTTTCTCTCTCTCTTTCTGGCAAGTGCACGTGCCCTATAGCAGAAATATCTCAAAAAATAAAGAAGTTTATGCATAACTTCTCTGAAATTAGAGATGAGACAAAGATATTATTGGCTAACAGGAAGAATGAGCCATTTTCAATTAATGATAAAAGTAAAGCAGTTGATGCTTAAAATTTTTAGACAATTAATTATCACTATTCTTTAATGAGGAAGATGAGATTGTGAGGCAATGTATTCCTGTTTTATCTGAATTAATGTAGGGAGATAAACTTTGCTGATATGGAAACAGCCATCTTTAACAGTTAGAACCAGTAGAATCTTGGGTATTATCTGAAGAGCATCTATAAAAATGGATCAGAATAAGTGAATTAGGAAAGAATGCAGGATTCATATATGTGCATAAAGAAGACAATTATTACTATTTTCATAATTTGTTTAATAGTCTATACACATAACTAATAAAAATCTGAAAGTTAGGGTTCTTTTTATAGTTTTTGCCATAGGGTGCATATTCTTGCGAAAGAGGCAGAAAGAGAGAGAGAGAGAGATAGATCACCCCCTGGGAGGGGATATCCATACCACAATTCTTTCCCCTCTGTTCTTCTGGGATTTGGGGCATGCACACACAAGTGCCCAGTGTAATTTTTAAGCCATCAGATCCAGGAATCAAACCATAATCAGCCATGTGGAAGTCCAGCAACTTAACCACTATGCCACCTACTGGCCCCCAAAATTAGTTTTATTAAATATTAAGACAAAGTCAATTTAAAGTACAGACTTAATACATAAAATCTTACAACAAATAAAATGATAATAGGACATTGCCAAACATACCAAATCTAAAGTATATTAATATCATAAACTTAATCCATATCATTTCATCATTTTATATTTCTGCAGATATAAGAATACTTATATTGGATTTTCAGGGAAGTCATGATATATTTTTCTATGTTTTTGTATGCAAAAATGCATTGTGACTTTCCTAACAACCTAATAATAATTCATAAGTATTGAGTAATAACATTTTATGGTTTTTTCTTTTCTTTTTTTTTTTTTTGAGAGGTTTTTGCTATAGGGTGCATGTGCTCACCAGAAAGATGGCCATGCCATAATCCCTTCTCCTCCATTCTCCTCTCCAGATCTTGGGCACGCATGCAAACGTGCCCAGCGTGAGTTTAAGCCACCAGGTCCGGGACTTGAACTGTGGTCGAATACATGGGAGTCCAGCAACATAGCCATTACACCAACTGCTGGTCCCACATTTTATAGTTTCTTAAGACTACAGAATATTTATAAGACCTTCTAGAAGAATCATAAAGACTCAGACCAATAAAGGGTCTAAGTTACTCACTAATTTTTATTGTAAATGTGGCCCTTGATTTTTTCCACCAAGGTGACATAAACCCAATCTATTGGTTGATTCTGTTTTTACAGGTAAACTTCACTTGTAATATTGATAAAATCTTTTATACCTATGTATTTAGCAGAGGTGTTTTATTTTGCAATCTGAAGTGTTTCACAATGAGGTACGAAATTTTGTTTCTATCTAGGAATATATTGACCTGATCTTTTAGCATTAGTGAAATTAATGCTAATTTATCCTATTGTCAGATAGAGATTAGTGTTTATGTGTGTATGTGTGCATCTGAAGAAGATTCATATTTCATTTAAATTTTTAAGTGCCTACCATGTGCCAGGCTTTGCTCTAATTAGGCAGTGAGATACAATAGTGAACAGACCAAAGTCTCTACTTTTATAGAGTTCATTTAAAATGAGGAATACAGACAATAAGAAAAATATATAGTAAAATATATAAGAGTAAATTCTTTAAAAAAAAAAAAACTGCAGGAAGCGATGTGGAGCTGGGATAGGCCTCTTTTGAAGTTGACTTTTGAGTAAAGACCTAAGAAAGACCAATCAAGCTATCATTTATGTATCCATCCATTCACATTATACATATGTGTGTGTGTGTGTGTGTGTGTGTATATACATGCCCTGTAGCAAATAAAATAATAACAATATAATAAATAAAAATAATGTATTTATATTCTTGGACACTTAAGAATAAGCTTAAAATAAAATGGTATTTTCTTTTTTTAAAGAATTATTTAATTGTATTTGTTACTTTATGTATTTTTATTATTGTCTATTATTTTATTTGCTATAGTTCATGTATATATAGATACACACATAGGACATATTTTATGCCTTATGTATCTAATGGGAAAAATCCATACATATGTGTGTGTATATATATATAAAATATGTAAAAATCCATCCATATATATGTATTTATATGTGTGCATATGTGTGTATATATGTATATACACACAAATATGTATGATTTTTACACTTTGTAGTTACTAAATTCTCATCTTTTTACACTTTGTAGTTACTAAATTCTCATATTTTTGTTATGTATGTATATTTGTGTTTTGCATTTTAACATTTTTCTTTTGAATAGATATATTTATGGCCTTGCTCAATCTTAACAAATTTCAATTAATTACAATGTATTATGATTTTGATGGTAAATTATCAGAATTTAGCCACTGAGAATCTTTTTTTAGAAAGATTTTTTTGCTATAGGGTGTGTGTGCTTGCTGGAAAGAAGAGAGAAAGAAACTAGAAATCACCCCCCAAGTGGAATGGCCAAGCTGCAATTCCTTCTCCTCCATTCTCCTCTTGGAATCTTGGGTACAACACACGTGCCTGGTGTGAGGTGGTTGTTTTGTTTTTGTTTTTAAGGAATTATTTATTTAATTCCATTTGTTGTTAATATTATTTTTTAATCTGACCATACAGAGACAGAGAGAGAATAGAAAAGCAAGAAAGCAAGCTGCCAGATCTGGGACTCGAACTGCAGTCGGCCATGTGAGAATCAGCACCTTTATCCACCATGCCACCTGCCAGTCCCCTGGGTCCAGGACTTGAACTGCAGACTACTACATGGGAGTCTAGCAGTGTAACCATTACCCCCCCCGCCACTGGGAGTCTTTTTAAAGTGAGCTCTCTGCACCTTTTTCTTTTTTGGAGAGGTTTTCGCTATAGGGCGTGTGCGTTCGCCAGACAGACAGAGAGAGACATAGAGACAGAAAGCGAGAAATCACTCCCCAGGAAGGATGGTCACGCCACAATCCCTTCTCCTCCATTCTCCTCTCGGGACCTTGGGCACTCACGCACACGCGCCCGGCGTGAGTCTTAAGCCACCGGATCTGGGACGCGAACCGCGGTCGACTACGTGGGAGTCCAGCGACATAGCCATTACTCTAACTGCTGGTCCCCAGCTTTCTGCACCTTTCATCACTGTCCTGATATCTTTGCAAGTAGTCTTACTTTTCTGGCAATGGTAGTCTGTTGTAGATGCATCCTCCTATTTCCTGCCCAAATTTATCAAATTAACTTATCTTCCAAAGAATTTTTCTAGGGGGAAAACCAGCATATATATTTTCAAGAAGATATAAAATCAGAAATAGGATTTTCTCCTTTAGGAAAGGAAATAAAGAAGAAGGGAAAGGAAATAATTTTTCTCAGTAAAAGGTCTTGCTAGCTGGAGTTAGAGGCTTAATAAATTAAAGTGAGATTGTATTTTTAAAGAATAATTTCATTTTTATTATTTTTGTTTATTATTTTATTTGCTATATGGCATGTGTGCTCACCAGAAAGAGGCAGAGAAGAGGGAAGGAAAGAGAAAGCAAGCTGCTAGGTCTGGAACTCAAATTGCAGTCAGCCATGTGGGAGTCCAGCATCCCAACCACCATGCCACCTGCTTCCCTCTATATTTTCTTTATTTACTATATTTTCTTTACGTTTTAAAAGAATTATTTAACTTTATTATCATTTTAAAATTTTCTATATGGCACATGCACTCACCAGAGAGAAAGTGTGCAAACAAGCTGCCAGGTCTAGGACTCAGATTGTGGTTAGCCACATGGGAGTCCAGCACCTCAAACACCATGCCACCTGCTGGCTCCTATATACTATATTTCCCAGGTCCGGTGGCTTAAGACTCACGCCGGGCGCGTATGCGTGAGTGCCCAAGTTCCGGTTATCCAAGAAGAAAAAGATGGCTCAACATCACA